AAAAAGTATTTAAAATATTTGAAATCTGCTAAAGGTGACAGACAATTCTCACTATTGGCATAATCCTACAGAAATCGTATAAGCGCAGCAAAAGATAAAAATAGCATTCTAGTAGTATTTGAAATTTGCTAATAGTGTGAGCTGCTACAAAAATAGGTTATGTTATTTGACCGCAAATAATTTATTAATACTATAGATTTTTAATAAATAAAATTGAAAAAGGTGAGTTAGCAACCATCAGTATTTTAAGTAAACTTATTGATTTAGGCGACTTTCTAGATGCAAAACAGTCTGCATTTTTATTAGTACTAAAAATTAGCATTATTTGATTGGTAATTGTAATGGACGTAGTATGTTCTAATATATGTCCAATATACATGTATATTCGATAATAGCAAAATTTTTAAATAAAGATTTTTCTGTTGTAAATAGTTTTTTTTAAAAAAAAATTTATTTAAAATTTATTAGAAAAAAAAAAGAAAAGCCGTAACTGTGTTACTAACTTAAAGTATATAATATAAATTATTAATTTTTTAATAATAGACACTATGTTATCAGCTCCAAGATTGAAACAATTGGATGACTTACGATATGCTCAATCTTGTTCATTCTCTTTAACTCCAATATTTGTTTTCACAACAACGATTAACCATATTCATTCCAAGGGTATAACCCATCTCATTAGATTTTTGAAATGATAAATGCCTTATTTATATCCTTTTTGACTTCAAATTTGTCTTGATAACAGGTGCCGACGTAAAACAATTCCATTTTGGCAGATTTTGAAAGATATAAGAATGCTTTATATAAATTTTTTTTGACTCCAATTTTATTATCTATCTTAGTAGCTTTTTTAAAAATAAGTAAATAAAAAGCCCAAACTCTTCCTTTTAATAAATAATGACAAAAATTAAATAAGTTACAATAATACCTTTCAGAGTATATAACATTGAATTAATTCTATCCATCTCTCTTCTATATTCAATGCTGTTACTCGTGATATTCTATCTTTTTTAATATGCACTTTCAGATTTAGATGAAAATACTGAATCAAAAGAGAACCGTTGAACTAAATTTCTTTCTATTCCCACTATCAAATAAAATAAATAAAATAAATAAATTGTCACAAATCGAACATGTGTACTATTTAATATATTTTGTCAATGACAATATCTTAACCGGTAGATCTTTTGTATCCGTTCTTGTAGAGTAGCATGTGAACAGATTAGCTCCCTTAAATATAAAAAAATTAACATACATTTTATAAATATCGTAGATAGAAACAGAATTTAAGTTGATTCAGAATTTTTAAGGTTAGAGTTGGGATTTTAGTATAATTATTCTATTCTAATCTAAGTAGATTCTGAATTTATTATGATTCTATTCCCACTTACAATATAAATAAAAAATCCTTTTGATAAGTGCTAAGAAAATTCAAGATCTGAGCTGTACAAATCATATGATTTAATCTTGATTTTCCTATACATTCTTGCTATATAAAATAAAAATAACTTTAGTAAACAGTCTTTTCGCTTAACATGGTATGGATTTTTTTAATACTATACTCATCTCAATATGCTATTTCTTGCCTTTTTTTTATGCGAAAGTTTTGATGAATTCTATATTTACTACTATTTAGCATTAATGAAATAATGAAAAAGCTAGTATAGAACTTAACGCTAATTATAAATATGTATATGATGATTAAAAATATATGTATAATGCTATCTTTTGAATGATAGAGACTTTTCTTTAAAGGGTATTGCATTTGGTTCATCTTTAATGAGGCATAAGAAATAAGTCGAACTATTTTTTTCTTGAAAAGCTGGATTAGTTCCTGGTTGCTTCATAAGTTTGTAAAATGTATAAAAATTTTTCTACAAATAATTAATTAGCATAGTTTATTCTTTGTCAAAAATAAACCATCCTTGAATAAAGCAAATGCCTTATATTTATTTGAGAAAAATTACTATATAGCGTGAACTAAAATACTCAGGGTACTTCACAATTTAAGCAGTATATATGGGTATTATAGTCAGAAGGATACTGTGGTCAGCGTAGAGGTATAAGTAATGTTTTATATATTCTAAGTTCATCTTTAGTATCAAGGTATTTTACATTCTCAAGTGCAATTAATCCGTCTTTAGCATCTGGGATACTTTACATTCTAGGCCTCTGAAAATCAAGAGGGGTATTATAAAAAGGGTTTTTTTAGTCTACACTGCACGGTACATTCAATAAGAATCTTATAAAATGCAATTTTTTAGTTAAATTGATTTTTACTTTATAATTTAACTTTTTTTTTATGTGTTACAAATAAGCTGGAATTATTTAAGCAATCGGTTGTCAACTAGTTGAATTAGTAAATTAAGTTATGTCGTATGAAGAGGAATGATACTATATTAGGGTATGATGTGCTTTCAACAAAGGCATCATTGAAATGGTACCTTGGGTATAAGGAGGAATGATACCATATGGGTATATGCTTTCAAAAAAGGTATAATTGAAATGGTACTTTGGGTGTGAGGAGGAATGATACTATATTAGGTATATGAGACGCTTTTCAAACACAGTACCTTGATAAGGTTGTTAACAGAAGACACTGAAGATAAAATTGTTATTAGAGCTTTTTACTAGCATAAAATTTCTGTGAATAAAAATTATCATATATAATAAATCAAATAAGAACAGCCTTTTTATATTAAGATGTCTCTTAGCAACAGTAAATATCCTAAAGACAACCCTTTTTTACTTAAACAGAACAATACTACTTATACATATACTATTATTAGTGAAGGATTTTATTCATCAAAAAATAAAATATGGAATACCTCAACTCATTCTCGCAATGGAACCATATACAGAATTCCTGATAATTATGTAGTATAAATGAGATGGGGCCAAGGAAGATCACAGCATGAAATAGAATGTGAAATTAAATATGAAACAGATGGTCCAGTTTTTATAATTAGGTTTGAAGAAAATGGTCAAAATTTTATAATAAAATCGAAAGAATCTGTGATTAAAGCTGCCAATGAATACTTAAAAGTCAATTTAATTCTTTTAGCAATTAATTTTTATTATTTTTTGATAAAAAATCTAAATTTTTGTTTTTTTACATAGAAAAGAAATCTTGATACACAAGCAAAACTTTTGGGATGCATATATTTGGGCTTAACGCAAAAGATGTGAAGCAAGAACGCGAGAAAAAGAATCGATCTCATCTTTTTAAACCGTTTAACATGTTGGGCAAGTCCATGAAAAAAAAATGTTCTCGCAAATTTTCAAAGCAAATTAGTATAGCCTTTAAAAATAAAATTTACAAATTCTATAATCCAATAGATCAACCCATTCTACAAGAACTTCGATTTAATATTCAAGACAAGAATTATGTGGTTGACTATTATAATAAAAATAGAGATGAAAAAAATAAACATATTGAAGCAATTACGGAAATTGTTGACCAGGGCCCAATCTCTCGGAAA